ACGCGGTGAAGTCGGGGGGGCCCCTCTCACACCACGTAGAATTTCGACGATTTCCTGGACCTCTATCTACGTATCTCGCCGAGAATTTTGATGCAGTTAAAATTCTCTTATCTTGCGAATTCGTACAGGAACGCGCACATTCGTTGCAACGCATTAAAATGCGTCAGTAAGAAGATATATCATACATTATCTTATAATTAATATTTTTTATAAAATCATATAGTAACGATATTTTATGTTGAATATAAAAAAGCAAATAACGATTTTAATTTGAATTGAGATGCAATATTCAGAAAAGTTATTCAACATTTTCTGCAAATTATCATCGTTTATTTTTTTAAATACTAAATAATATTTATACAAAGATAATTCGCCAAAACATATAAATTTCAAATTTAAAACTTATCAAATGCAGAAAGAAAAAGTAAAGACATTACGCTTCTTGAACGTAAATACAAACGATAGAGAAATTAAAGAAATTAAAATAATCGTAAAAAATGTCAAATGTCGTGACTTTTTTAAACCGTGCAACAGAAGAAGATAAATCTATTTATCTCCTCACATTCAAAACGATGATCGAGATGAAGTCAACTCGTTCGTTAGCGAGTTAACTCTCTCATTCTGGCGCGTCCCGATTTCCGAGGATTCTCCATCGCGGCCGCCCCATTGTTCCGTAGCCTTAATGCGCGCGTCGCTGTAAACAGCACTACAATGGAACAACTTCGTTAGCATAATCGCGTCACAGAGTCACCCGGGCGGCCCCCCGCCCCCGTGCTTCTCCGTGCCGTGGCGGTTCCCTTTCGGATTTTACGGGTGGTTTGCCCGCGCGTCCGGGGCCTCCTCCACCTCTCCGTAGGCGGGCCCGATCCGCTTCTGCGTTTAACCGTCGCCCGTCGAGTATTATTCATTGTCGCGATCAAATCGTTTATCTTCGTATCGACATTGTCATAGGCGTAGTGAGAGGGGCGAAATTGCACTTGCATCCCTTTAATTGGAAAGTATTCAGAAAGAGGGAAAAATTATCTCTTTTCACTTTATCTAATAAATTATAATTTTAACTATATATATATATTATATATATATATATATATATCGATAAGAAAGCTATAATATGTACACCCAAATATATTAGGATGGATCGAAAAAAATCGTTTTAATCTAATAGTGCGCAAGTTAGTATTTTATACCAAGAAGAAATGTGCACAATCGATTTTCAAAAATTCTGATTTTTATAAAATCACATTTCCATATTTCCTTTGATTTTCGTGTATTTTGTTACTGTTTTCACAACTATAAACTGATTTTAATGACTAGTTTAGTGTTTCACAGTATTTTCCTAGCACATTTAGACTTTTTACAGTGATTCAAAGTTTATCATTCAATTTAACCTATTTTTAAGATTTCAAATAAATTATTTTTTAAACGTTCTCTCTTTTTGTCTAAAAAGTAAAACATTTTTTTAAATAAAAATGTTAAGACAAAAATTAAAAAAGCTTAAAACTGAATTTCTATTAAACTTCCATACATATCTCTTCAGAAAAGTTTTGTCGACGCCGATGGAGACTGCATACTTCTTGGTTATGCATATCTCTTATCTCCTTTTTCATTGCTTTTCTCGAAAGGAGCAGATTACAAGTTGATTGAAATGGATCATACTTGTCTTTTTGTTTATTTAATTGCCATAAGAAAAAGTTTCAAATTATAATTAGTAAAGTAATCTTTTGCTAAAAGTTTTGATTTTTTTAAGTAATAATATATTATCTGTAAATTATCTATACAAATATTTAAAATTAAAATATCGATTAATTTAATTATATAATACATTAATAATTCAACAAAAATTTTTTTTCTTGATTACACGCGTAAATTCTGTATAAGGCAATAAAGGATTTAAGTACTCTGTATGCTTAACGCGATGTAACGTCGATCGGTCAACTTCTCCGATTACCGACATTAATTCGCAATTATAATCCTCAATAACATCGAGGTTTTCGTGCGCTCGATACATTTCTCTCCCCTAAAGCATCCCCCCGTTCTTTCCGCCTCTCGAACCCCGGGGACGGCGTTCACAATGGAAATGTTAAGCGAGTCGTGGATTTGCAACGCTCGTCACTCTCGTTTGGCATTGGACGAGCGGGGTTCGTGTCTGCGGACGTCAATTTGCGACTGGAACGTCGAGGGGATCGAGGGGGTTGATCTCGCCTTCTTTTCCTTCCTGCATCCTCCAAATAGAGCCTCTCTCTATCTACCTTGCCCCGTCTAGTGGTGCAGATATTCTATGCGTGTGTATGATAGCAGCAGCCGACGACCGTGGTGCTTGAAATCAAAACACACCCCAGGGGCTGTCCGTCGATTATTATCGTTTCCACGCACCGCTCGCGATCATGACAATCGCTCGAGCGACTTTTGACGGCACGCCTAATTCGGTACTCAAACCTCGGCCCCGTTGGATCTTTCGAATTAAAAGCAATGTACACGGGCTACCTCTCGAGAATCTTTTGACGTTCATTTCCATGCGACTGTTTCATCTGTCTTACATAATTTATATTTAATTTTCATTCATTCACGCTAGTAAGCGTTTGTATAATTGTGCAAATAAAAAACATTTTGTCTCTTTAGTCTTCCAATTAAAATGTAACAATTATTATCTTCTGTGTTAACTTCTTTATGAACTTTTATTTCTAATTATCGAAAGCTTTCATTTAACTTTGTATTGATTGTTGAATTAATCGAATCGGTGATATTAAAAAAAACTTACTAATCATAAGTAAAATAAAAAAATATATTCAATCATTTATAATGTATGCCATGAGAAATACGTACATTATTAAAACTTTTCTATGTTTCTGTTATTTTAAAAAATTATATGTGGATATTTCTATTCATATCAGTTCAATTACAATTGTTTTTTTCGAATTATTAAATAAATCAACCACAAGAAGATGGTCGTCGCGGATGAAATGAGCCAACAAGAAGAAATTACATAATTTTGTCAGAAAAGCGGTGGGAGCTTTCTCTCCTTGTTAGTTTCTCTTTCGTGATTTTCTGTACTGCGGATTCAACCCCCTCGGAAAAATAATCTTTTTCTTCTCATTCCCTTCATGTCTCTTTCTCGCACCCTTTCTCTCTTTTCTCCGACGTCCGCTGCGGATGTCAAAATATGACAGCTCTCTCGAGTCACCACTTTCGCGACAAGAGTTACGTCACAGGGGGTTGCCGCGGCCGATCATTAAAGTAAGGGTGCGGTTGTGACTTTTGTTATATAGAGACACTTAAATTCAGTATCTGGTGAATTCGTTGTTAGTAAAAGTAATATACAGATCTTTTATAAATATTTCAACCGTGATATTCATTTAGCTAATGTTTGTCTTAAATAATTTCTTATATTGCAGAATAGCATTTATATAAATCATGAAATTTTTGTTTTTCTTAAATGTTGAAAGTATGTACAATAAAAAGTTGAAAGATCGTTCAAAGATTTATATTTGATGTACATATATTAAGAGAATAAATTATTTATGAAAATATAATTTCAAATTGATTATTTATTGCGAGTATGATACAAAATGTTATTTTCCTGTATAAATTCAAATATGAAGGAAGGTTGATAATCACTGGCGCGCTTCGCTAAGCTGACGGAAGCGGTAAATGGTTCGCAACCAACCCCCTCGACGAGACGCTAATTCATATTCATAGATGTAGCGTTTAGCATTACGCCGTTAAATTCTCCGGAGAGTTGGTTAAGAGACAGAGTGGCTAATATTTCTATTCGCATTTCCGCTCGTTGAGAAAGTGGCAAGGCTCCTTCCACTTTTTTTGATAAATCAATCTTTTTGTTCATCGAAAAACTTCAATCATATCAAATTTAATTGTTATTAATACCTAACAATATTTGTTAACTTTAACAATTAGGTGTGTTATGATGCAATGCAATAAATTCCTGTATAACGCAAAGAATATATTTATACAAAATTCATGTTTACAGAATTAAAAAATATATTGCTTATTGTGTAAAATATCAATTTTTAAAAAATTATAACAATAAAGTATTTTTAATTTTATCCTAAAATAAAACAGAAAAAATTAATTTGATACAATTTCTTCATTGTGTAACTTAAAGTAAAAAAGCTCTTCTAGATAGATTGGTATTTAATTGCGACTAGAATTATGACTCTTCCAACAAAATCTTTTTTAAGTACAAAATTATATATGAAGATTCCCATTTCATAACTTATTTTAATAACAAATGTTAGACTATGCTATCTTGGTTGTAATCTAAAAATATATTTAATCTAAAAAGTTACTATCAAGTGGTTCCTACACTGTTGCAAAATTTAAATATTTTTAATTCTAATTAAAACAATTCGGACTTATAAAAGACAAAAATTAGGAAAAAAATATGCAGGGAGAGAAATATAGTCTTATTATTTGTTATTTAGATTTACTTTTTAAGATTAAAACATAAAAATAAAATTTGATTTGCGCTACTTCGTTTAATTTAAATCAAACATATACATATGTAATGACTCTTATTCATTCTTATTTTTATATATTGAAACCACAGATTTTACCGCTGAACTTTCGATTTTTCAATTGCACGGAGATTACAAATGTTCCACAATAAATAAGTACAATATATGTACAATATCATTAGTAATTTTGTATATATAATAAACGTTAAAATATGTAATTTACAAAAAAAAAGGTAAACTTAGAACAATACTTTCGTCTATTAATTTTTTATTTCTTTTATTTTATATTAAAAATAAATTAGCGAATTTTTTTTAATTAATTGATCATATATGCGTCTGTTACAATATGGAATAATTTTCTCTGTAATTCGTTAACATATTCATATTCCAATACAATATAAAAAGATTTTATTACATGTAAAATAAATAAATGTATATATATATATATATCTAGTTGTTGAATAATTGCGAACATAATTTCTTTAATAAATACAAATGATGCAATTAGTATAAAAATTAAATATACCTTATTATTACTACAAGAACAATGTCAGTATATATCATTCACAAAGGTCCTCCAGGTTTCGATTTTACATTCGATTTGCGAAAGTGGTGATAGTTCGGGAGTACTTTTAATAGAAAATCCAACTGTCCAATTTGAGGCTGAAATAAATTACAAAATAAAAAAGTCATATTTAGTACTTTGAAATAACAGCATAAAAGTAATAATATATAACAATTACATATGGCTTGTCATTCATTTCTCTACGTTGACATTGGCTTCCATATACTATTGTATTTTCTGGTATTGTTTCTTGTTCTGTCAAAGAACATGCAGCTCCAATAACACATCCGTTAGTTAATTCAATTTCTCGACTAACTTGAGCTTTTGGCAAAATGATATTTATATAATAAGTGAATCATAAACAGATTTATAAGTAATTAATAATGGCATTGTCATTTTTAACAATTCTTATTTCCTAGTTTGATATAAAATAAATCTTACATGTATGATTTACAACTACATTTGTTTGCATATATTAAAAAGTAATTGTTACAACTATGTACCTTTTGCTTCTAAGATGTTGTTATCGCCAACTTTATATGATTCACAAACACAATCAGTCTCAAATACATTATAGTTTCCTATTATTTGCACTGGTACAGTTACAGGTTCTGGAGCATCAGATGGCAGTCTGTAGAGTGATGTTAAATTAGTAATTACCCGAACAGCACAATTCATTGGCGAAACATTGGTTAAACGTTGGCATACATTGGGGATATGTTGGATCAATGTTGCGCCGATGAATTGTGCTACTAGGGTAGTATACCACTGTACATATTGCAAATGATACAAGTATATTAAGCTTGCCTGTTGGTTATAGTTGCCATCTCTTCAATTATATTGCCTTCTCCTATAATGATTGGACCAGCTTCTGCTAGAATACATGCTCTAGGATGAATTATAGTTTTTGCACCAATAGAAATGTCTCCTTTTAGAATACTCTCTTCGCACACTACTGCACCAGGTGCAATTTTTAAGCTATACAAATAGTATTATAAACATAACATACAATTCACTCAAAAAAATATCATAGGAGCATCTAATAATTGTTTTTTTTACTTTTTAATTAATTATTATGACTCAAGGCATTCATGTGGCGCTTATGTTAAAAGATGTCAAATTTTATCGTATAAACATTGGTTATAACTATTTGTATATATTTATGTATATTATTGTAAATATGTGCAATCAAATTAGAGCTAGACTTAACCTTATCAACCTAACCTCAAAATACATGACTTTGGTATTGTAACATAAAGCAATCTTTATTAGAAATTAAAATTATGGTAAGAAGATTGTGTAATGTTATATTTTGATCATTATTAAACTTACTTGGCGCGGCGATAAGTAGAAGAATTGTTAGAACTCATTTTCCCGTCCATTTAATCGATGACAGTTCCTTGCTGCAGAGTGCAGATGCTAATGTATTATTGAATGTCGATTTATCGAAGACTTCGCCATTTTCTCTCGATAGTATCGTACAAAAAATTTAAAATTTCTTTTGAAGATTCGCTTTTGAAAGAACTGTGCTAAAAAAATTCTTGAATAAAATTGTTCATAAAATTAAATGTTGAATTAAATTTAATAAAAATGAGAATAATATTGAAATATTGATTATATTTTGTATTTTGTTTAGATTAGAAAATATTTGCTTTTTTTATAATATATATAAGTTAACTAAATTTACATTTAAATTATTACTACACAGGCCCTCGAAAATGAGACTTTGGAAAGTCTACTGAAATGTAGGAGTTGTTTCTGACGTTTTTTGCGCTGAATTCGAATCTATTGGTCAATGGATATCCTCACGTTTCAGAGTTATTGTAATCTGAAGATGTCAAGAAATGGCCTTTTTTGCATGTTTAGATTAGAATATCTCAAAATTCTGGCATACTAGACAAATTCTGTGGTCAGATTCGGATTCAGCGCAAAAAATTACGTCAGAAACCACTCCTACATCTCAGTGGACCAAACCTCGCAGGCCTGTGTTATTGTTATATTTAAATTTATTTTTAAATTGTTAAAAAATAGTACAATTGTCAAATTAAATGATAATAATTATAAGTTGTTATTATAAGTTATTATATCTTAAATTATTAAAAAAATAAAGCCATATATAATTCACATATCAATATTAGTTATAACAGCTGCTAGATAAAGTAAAAATAATTTTTTAATGTAATATTTTAATTCTGATGTGTGTGAACAATAAAAGATTTAAAACTCGCTTTCTAAATTATTCTTAATTAAAGATAACAAATAAATTTTTAAAAGTCACCAAATATTCTATATTTCTTAAACATATTGAACACGAAAAAGGCAGTTATTAAATTTTACAATAAAAATGATGTCTAAAGTTTCTATTCAATAGTATAATATAAAAACAAAGAAAGTACTTGAGCAATATTATAACGCTATCACAAATAAATTTTAATTAAAAACAAATATGAAATATTTATAAGATTAAATATATGATTTTAATACGTTAATCACATCTTGTTAAAATCTTGATTTATATTTATTAAGATGTACATGAGTAAAATAGTTCATTGTTATAATATAATAAAAATTAAAGGATCCCTACAATGAGAACGTTATAATGTGCAAATATCGTTTGTATTCATTTAAGCTATACTTTAGGGATACGAGAGAAAAAGGAAATCTCGCGATTGTGATTGCGCAACAAAAGGGATAATGTATTCACACATGAGAAACACATGAATACCTTCGTTTAGATATTTAACATAACTCTATATTATCCGTCAACTTTTATATATATATATATTTATTATATATATTTTTTATATATTATATATTATAAAATTTAACTCCAAATTGCGATAATAACGTCTAATTGCAACGTGCGTGCGCGTGTATGTGTTACGCCTTATTGTACGCGTATGTGTATAATATTATGTGTCTTGTGTGCGTGTATGTGTGTGTAAATGTTCGCATATGTGTATGTTTCTGTGGATGTGTATGCGTGTTGCTCTCGAGTAAAGGGGATAGAGATGTGAGCGAAGAAGGGTAGATGGTATGCATCTTGCACTCGCGCGTAACGTGACAGTGTACGTGTTCGATCTACAATTAAACAAATCCTACGCACTTACTCGTTAATCGGCAGAATAATATGCATTTCTCTTAATTTTTCGCTATAAGTATATGCAACCGTCCGAAAGCGTGTCAGTCGGCGCACCGTGACGGATTTGCCGTCGCTCTCGTCGATCCCTTTTCGATTGCGTTCGGTTCTTTCGGATGCATATTGAGATTTTTATCTGCACGCTGTTTACATAAACGAGCTTATTCGTTAATAGAGGAATAATTAACTTTTTCTACTAATTAATTTTGACAATGGTAACGAGATTGATTCATTAAGAATGTTTACGATTAATTTTGTGGTGTCTGACACATAAAGTTGTATAAGTCAAATCATAATTCTGTTTTTTTTTTTTTTAGAGAAATAAAGTAAGATTCATATAAATAGAGTGAATATATTTAATACGGAGCTACCGATTTTAAAGAGTAAGCTCAATATTTGATAAAAGAATGAATATATATTTTTGTTTTTTTTTAAGAAAAAGTATTATCATTAATTCATTAAACGTCTAAAAAAAGGTGTAAATAAATAAAGCTGTCTTTTTTTATGATGTCTAGATGGCTTTATCTTCAATGAAAAATTTAGAAAAACAGAATTAGTATTTTTTTTCATACAATTTTCAATCAATGTTATTAATATTATTTTAGTAATTATGGATGCAACAAAAATGTAAAAATGTAAATATATATATATTTATTGGACAGTAAACAAAAATTTATATATAGAATAAAATTAACCTAGAATATGCATCCGAAAGTTCTTTCTTACTCGACTACTTATCGTACAATTAGGATTGCGCAATTCTGATTTTATTTTATCTTAAAACTATTTTAAAATATTTTATTTTTTGTAACAAATAGATATTCTCGAAGAGAATAAAAAAACAATTATGCTCACTCGTATCAGTTAAAAGTTTTACGATAATTTCAAATCTTAAGTATGATAAAATCAGTCAGTTGAAAGCGAAAGTAATTTATTTATTCATTCTTTGTTGCTCTGGCAATGACTTTGAAATTTAACAATTTTTTAGACAATTTAAAAATACAAGAAGTAGGCATATAACAAAAATTGAAAGATTAAAGTGTTCAAGAGATTAAAGTATATTCAAAAGACTCACCTACTCGAGAATTTAAGGATTAAACTGCTCTAGAAATTAAAAAAATTTTTTAAAGAAAAGTTTGTTAAGCACTCAAAATCTGATAAAATTGAGATATATATTTCAAGCATTAAAAAGTTAAATCTTAAAAATTAGCATTCTCTACTTTTTGTTAAGTTTAACAGATATGAATGAAATATCGATGTTCTATTAAGTTATCATATTGCTGAGCAATTTTAATATCATATTATCATAAATATTATCATATTAAATATTATCAGATGTATGTAAAATTCGCTTTAACATTAACAAATTACTAAAAATCCATTTAACAATTATGAAGTCACTGTATAAATTGTCATTTAAGTTGTCATTTAAGATTGAATAATTGTCCCAACGTGAGGAATTAATACTCATGTTATCTAATATCGAAAAAATAAAAATATATAAATACGCAATAAAAATCGAACTCTATATATGTATATTACATGTAAGGCTAGTAACAATGCATTCAACACTTTCGCGACCACTAATTTTTAACTGTAAGTTAACTATAACTTTGATATCGATGTATTTAACTTAGGAAAATTCGCAATTGTATTTATACTATGTTTTTTAATGTAAAATTATGCTACTCGATATAAATATACAAATTAAATGTTCGCCTGTGAAAAATCTTTATAATTTCGAGCATTATATGCTTTTTAACATTATTTCGTGTTTTTAACTTTCGAAAAGAGTATGATAATGAGTTAAATAAATAATATTTCTGTTGAAGACCCTAAACAGTATAAATTATTTTACTTACGTAATATAAAGGGGCCGACATACAAAGGAGATGTTGCATAAATAGTAATTATGCATCATTATATATCTATATAAAAATAAAACATGTTCGAAATATTTACGTGTGGAAATTAGATTTTATTCATTTATATTAAACTTTATAAATACAAATAATAATAATAATAGAGCGTTATAAAATTTCTATAACGTCTGGTAATTAAAAACGGTCTGTCAGACCCCGCTTATACCGTTTAGGGTTTACATAAGTAGCTGCAATATTTATATAGTTTATTTTAAAGAAATTCATTATAGAATGAAACAACTAGTATTCGCACGTCATCGCTATAAGTAACTTTCAAATTAAAAAAATGCTATAATTCATACATATCTCTCATATTATTCTCTAAATCGATATTACCATCCATACATCTTTTTAAAGGATTTAACATTGCATTACATACAACGAGAGTTAAAGATACTTATAATAAAAGTACTTATAATAAAATGTAGCGTATACAAATATTTTTATTATTTCAGCCTGCTCCTCAACGACGTAATGTTATTTATAGCAAAAAAAAGTGATGGCGTACGAATACCTTTTTTTATTCCAGCTTGCCACTTAGCAACATAATTTTATACTTAGCAACAACACGAAGGCGTACGAATACTTCTTAATCGGTCCGGCACCAAACGACGTAATTTTCATCTAAAAATATGCGAGCGGTCGCGAAAGTGTCGACGAACAACGGTGAGCCGTTTAATAAATCCATCTCGATCTTCATCTTGATCTTTGATCAACGATCGACGACAGCGAGGAAAGCCGGTGACGGTGCGTATATATAATGTAAACGCCTCGTGAGGGTATCTCAGCGCGCGACAACGGGCTATTGTGTCATTTTTTTTTCATCTTTTTTTATCCATAAGAAGTACGGGTTTACGTATAAAGAGACGCGTCATACAAGTGCCGTATAGTACCAAAAATGTTTTTAATGCGCGCGCATAATGCAGTCGGTTAGCTCTATCTACGCCTGCATCCGTGAAAGTCGCATCCGCGCATATCGATTCGTATAACGTTTTTCTCTCTCGCTCTCACTTTCATTCTTTCTCTCTCTCTCTCGTTCTTTCACTCCCTTTCTTTTTTTCTTGTCTGTCTCTGCGTGTGTACGTATATAAGTATGTATGTATGTATGGATTCGTGAGCGTGTTACGTGTCACCGTTATCCGTGAGATCTGGCCGGGTTGGTCCGCGAACGAAATCACTCTGCATAACGCCCATTTTATTCTCAATCAATCGTACGAGGACCGTCGAATCTCGGTTGTTCCACCGAAATATACTCTCATATATATATTTATATATATAGTGTTTATATATAATTATTTATTTATATATTCATATATTTATTTATTTATTTATATGTGTATTTATGCTATAAAGTAGC